TGGTGGAGCACTTGCCTAGGTTACAATAGGTCCTGGGTTCAGCCTCCAGTAACCCTGAGAGAAGGCAGATTCCAGGCTCTCCAACCTTCCCTTGAGCTTTTTGTTTCCCTTCACAGGGGCTAAGGTAAGTTTTGGATCCACAGGATTGGAGGCTTCTGGTCTCCAGGTGGACGTGAGTCTGCCTCCTGAAGCCCACGCTCTTCCTTGCTTACGTGTTCCTAAGATTCCAGAGTAGCGGTTTCTGTCACTGTGCTGTTGTTTTCCTCCCACTCCTGATTGTTTGTCTGTGTCCTGTTCTTGGCAGGTACCACAAGAGCCAAGCCATCTACCTGGAGTCAAAGGACAACCAGAAACTGAGCTGTGTGATCAGCTCAGTGGGAGCCAATGAGGTAGGGATCAGATTTCTTCCCCCTGAGGAGAGCAGACTGCTCTGAGAAGGGTGGAAAGTTCGACAGACAAACAGAAAGCCCCACCCCGAAAGCACTTTGGAGTCCCGTCTCTGGGGGTTGGGTCAGCACTGTCGGGGAACTGTCCACACACACAGTCATCCTTGATCCCTTATGCCTGCCTGAGCCAGTCCCTGCAGCTCCATGTGCTGCGGGGCCCATGATGTGCGCCTGTGCAGCTGCTCAGAGCCCCTGAGGGGACGACATCAGGAGAGGGCAGAAGGCAGGGTGCCCCGGCGCGGGTGCCCCGGCGCGGGTGCCCCGGCGTGGCTGTACACTGACGGCCTCTGGAGAGGACTCATCCTGTTGTGGTGTTTGTGTAGAACTTCTCATGCACACACCAGCGGAGGGGATTCTCCTCTGAGGCTTAGTGGGGCACCCGGCACAGGGCCCAGCACCCAGGGAGTGCTGGGTAAATGGGTGCTGGTGCTGCCAGCCTGCAGCTCTCGCTGCCCATCAGTCTGACAGGCCCCACTGTGCCTCTGCACAGCCAGCTGTTGGGCCTGCAGGATTAGGTCCGGACCCAAAGCTGCTCAGTGTGCTACCCGAGGATGCGGGGACGCCCTGGCTCCCTCTGGCCCTTTATTAGGAAAGTGTCAGCGTGTCTCACTTATGCTATTAGAAGTTTTAAAAAGTCTGAAACTTTAATAGCTGCCTTGGCCTGATCTTTTATCAGCCCACAAATGTCTGCAAAGAAATTCATTTGTCTGTGTCTCCCTCTGTTAGTGATTTGTGCCGGTGCACGGTAGGAAAATCTCATGAAACCGGATTATGAAATAACTTCAGCCTCTGGTATCTCTCAGCCCTCTGAATCAAAATGCCCCCCTCACATGTGACCGGTTTGCAAAGTGATAGTTTGCCTGGAAGTTGGGGACAGCCTCAGATAGAGGGATGCTATTCTTCCCTAGGCTGAGTTGGGTTTTTTTTAATTATTATTATTATTTTTAATGCCGAAAGCTGTTTATTGAAGGAGGGAAGAGGTCTTAAATACAGGCTTATAGCACAATGGGAGAACCCTGGAGGGCAGAAGTTGGCTACCAATGTTTTACAATCTTGCGTCTAAGCTGTTAATGCCCATTATGCAGGATACACAGACAAGGAACTTCCCTTAAGCATTCAGGAGGGTGGAACCTGGCAGGGAATTAGCATAGGGAGGATATCAAGGTCAAGGTCAGCAAGCAAGGCAACAGTTACCCAAAACGGGGGCCAAGGCCCTGCAGGTCCCCCTTTTACTGAAAAATGAGCTTCTGACTTAGGTTGCCTGGGAAGTCAGCAGGTCACCTTACCGGTCATGGAGATGCCTGCCCAGGCCACACAGGCGCTCTGTCTTAGGTTGGTGAGTGCCCCCCAGGTATTACCCGTCTCTGAATACTCATTATCATACAGGCTCAATCGTGTGAGCTGCAGAGTTAACTGCTGCCAAAGATCTCAAAGTGGCACTGGGCTTGCAATCTGTGTGTTCGACACAGAAAAGACCAACAGAGGTCCTATCCCACCCATAGCCAGTAGGCTAAAGGCAACTGAGCCATTCCCTTCCTTAACGAGCCTTACTGCAAATTAGAGTCCTTGTAAGATGCTATCCCAAAAGCAAATGAAACTTGAGTTTATAAATTTATAATTTTCAAATAGGCTGAGTTTTTGACTGTTGCTTCTAAGCCAGCACCAGAATGGGGGTCGACCAGAAAGACATGGCGCTCCCCAGCCGAGGCCTTTGATTGTATGGTGGGCTGCTCTTCAGAGCATACAGGCCTCTCTAGGCCCTAATGAAGACCATGACATTTGTCACACATCTGTCAGAGTGTGTCAGTGAGGTCCAGAGAGCAAATGGTGATAGTGAGGTGTCTCTCAAAGGGATGAAGCCTTGGCACCAGAGCTCTACCTGGTGATGGAGTGTCAGCCCTCAGTCCTCGGGGTGGTTCCAGCTCAGTTTTCAGATGCACCATCACTTAACCCTGGACCTGCTTGGCCTTTGTGGGCACGTTGGGCCAGAGGGTGGTGACGCCTGGCTCAACCTGGCTCAGCACCACGTGGGGTCAGTTTTCTGTTTAAGATGCTCTGGCAGGAGGCTCAGCTTCACTCAGGTCTTTTAGCTTGTTTCAGTTTTTTTTTTTTTTTTTAAAGATTTATTTATTTATTATGTATACAGAGGAGGGCACCAGATCTCATTACAGATGGTTGTGAGCCACCATGTGGTTGCTGGGAATTGAACTCAGGACCTCTGGAAGAGCAGTCGGTGCTCTTAACCTCTGAGCCATCTCTCCAGCCCCCTTGAAAAAGGACTAGACGAGCCAGCCAGGAGTCGAACCTAGAATCTTCTGATCCGTAGTCAGACGCGTTATCCATTGCGCCACTGGCCCGTCATTTGTTTCAGTTTTAAGCTGCGTGTCTACTTCATCTTTCTGTCACTCAGTGGTCACACGAGACGTGAAGCGTGACTGAGGAAACCTGGACCTGAAGCCTGATTTGGGAAGAATTCTGTCTGCAGAGGGCAGACTTCGATCCAAACCTTGCTTCAGGCCATTTAATTATCCAAGTCATGGAGAGCCAGTGAGAGGAAGAAGTGTTGTGAGGCCAAGCACCCCACAGTATACCTCCCACAGGGCTGTTGTGAGAGAAGCGCCTATACTATACCCCTACAGGGCTGCTGTGGGAGAAATACTTCATACTGCACCCCCACAGGGCTGTTGTGAGAGAAATACTTCATACTGCACCCCCACAGGGCTGCTGTGAGAGAAATACTTCATACTGCACCCCCACAGGGCTGCTGTGAGAGAAATACTTCATACTGCACCCCCACAGGGCTGCTGTGAGAGAAGTACTTCATACTGCACCCCATAGGAGGGGCCAAGGAGCTGGTGAGGCAGGAGGACCAGCCTCAGCTCTTTAGCAATGGAAGACAAAATGAGGGGGGTTTCCTTGGGTTTGAAAAGCAGTTGCTCCTGAATGCATGCCTTTTGGGTGTTGAAAACGCAGTCACCAAGTCGAGTCCTGGTAACTAAGGCAGAAATGGAGCCGGCCCCATTTGAGGTGTGTGGGTGCTGGCCGAGCCCCCACAGCGGTCCCTGTCTCACCGTCCCCCCCTCTCCTGTGCCCGCAGATCTGGGTGAGGAAGACCAGTGACAGCACCAAGATGAGGATCTACCTGGGCCAGCTGCAGCGTGGGCTCTTCGTGATCCGCCGGCGGTCAGCGGCTTGACTTTCTGCACTTCCTCTCCCCTTGACCCTTTTTCTGGAGTGGTTTTTATTTTTGTTTTGTTTTCTTCTTAATAGAAAATTCTTAACTTACCGGGACTAGCTACTTGGCCTGGGACATGGAGAGCGCTGTGGAGTCTTCCAAGGCACCCACACGGCCGGCCACCTCCATCTCTGTCGCTCTTCCTGCCTCGGCTTCTTCCAGAGTCAGTCGCCAGAGACTGACTGTCGGGAGTATTGGGGGTTTCCTCCACCTGCCTTTTAGTCCTTACTTTTTATTTGATTTTATTATTATTATTATTATTTTTTGTTTATACTTGGTCCTTTTTTTAAACCCTCCTTTGAGTTTGAAGGGGAGCTCCTTTTAATGAGTGTCTTGAGGTCTTTCTCCCATGAGGAGCAGTGAGTGTGTTTTCCCGTCAGGATCTGATGGGTGGATTGTGTGCCTGCTTCCCTCGGTAGGCCCGGAAGCGTGGGGCAGGAGAGCTCTCTTGGCTCCGCCTTCTTGGAGAAATAAAGGATGTGTAACATCTCATCTCCCTTGCTGAGTGACCGGAGCTTCAATCTTCACCCTGGAGACTGCACAGTGGACGGGGCTGGGAGAGGGGAACATGGCGCATTCCCAACACGCTGGAGAGCCAGCCCACTCTGAATGGTCTTGAATGCACATGATTTATTTAGACATGCCTGTCCCTGTTCAGGGTGAAGAAGTGGTAATTTCAGAAATTTCCATTTGTAATTCCTCTCTCCGGCTCCCAGTGGCTGGAAGATCACGTGCCCCACTGTGGTCCGGGTTTTCTCTGCTAGTCGGGGTGGCCAGGTGGGTGCACAGTAACCGGTCTGATGTGACTGGATCCACCACAGACCCCAACCTCCCCTCAGTTTGCCCACGTTGGTGACAGGGAGAGCCCTGTCATGCTGCGGCCACCAACTCTGCTTTTCCTCGAGTGCCCCCAGTGAAGCTACCTGTCATGGCGCTCCGTTCCTGCTCCGTTCCTGCCTGGGCTTCTCTTGAGTCGTGACTCACGGGGCGGGGCAGGGGATTCTCTGTGCTCCAGCTGCCACCATGCCGTGTGTAAAGAAGAGGTTGGAGCAACTGACCCCGTCCCTCTGGACTACCAGTAGGCTGTCCACGGTTTAGAATCCCCCACCCCCGACCCCGAGACAGGGCTTTTCTGTGTAGGCCAGGCTGGTCTTGAACTCAGAGATCCGCCTGCCTCTGCCTCCTGAGTGCTGGGATTAAAGGCGTGCGCCACCACGCCCGGCTTTTAGAAGTCTTGACAAGTGATCTGTTTTGCTCTTAGCCCCTTGGACTCCGTTCATGTTGCCTCTTGATGTTTCCAGCCACAGTAGTGGCTGTGACTCCAAGGAAAGACTTGTACAGACCTATTGTTTTAATTTATATCCACTCTCTCACGTTGGAGTTTTTAAGAAACCATGATAAATGATGATGTTTATTAATTAAAAGTTGCCAAGTGGTCTGTTTCTTCTCTGCTCTCTGCCTTCTACCCACTGTCACCACGGGTACCACAGTGATGCCCACATTGTCAGAGTCTTCACAGTGAACCCAGCTTGGCTAATATGATCACCACAATGAGCTCCACTTCATTGCACGCTCACCACAGTGAACCCCACTTTGTTCATATTCACAGTGAATCCCACTTTGTTACACGCTCACTGCAGTGAACCCCACTTTGTTACACGCTCACCGCAGTGAACCCCACTTTGTTCATGTTCAGTACAGTGAACCCCACTTTGTTATATATTCACTGTAGTGAGCCCCTTTGTTACATATTTACTACAGTGAACCCCACTTTGTTACATGTTCATTGTTACATGCTTGCTGCAGTGAACCCCATTGTTACATGTTCGCTGCAGTGGACCCCATTGTTACATGTTTGCTGCAGTGGACCCCACTGTTACATGCTCACCATAGTGAACCCCATTGTTACATGTTTGCTGCAGTGGACCCCCACTGTTACATGCTCACTGCAGTGGACCCCATTGTTACATGCTCACTGCAGTGGACCCCACTGTTACATGCTCACTGCAGTGGACCCCACTGTTACATGCTCACTGCAGTGGACCCCACTGTTACATGTTCGCTGCAGTGGACCCCATTGTTACAGTTTGCTGCAGTGAACCCCATTGTTACATGTTCGCTGCAGTGAACCCCATTGTTACATGTTCGCTGCAGTGAACCCCATTGTTACATGTTCGCTGCAGTGAACCCCATTGTTAAATGCTCACTGCAGTGAACCCCACCTTATTACATGCTCACTGCAGTGGACCAAGCCCAGGATAAGCAGGGGCTTCCATAGGTGGACTCAGTCACCCGAGTTCCCTCGGGTTTGGGGAAGTACCCTGCTGAAAAGCTCAGGAGCCCATGACGGAAATCATTTAGATGTATTTGGTGTTTGTCACCAAGGGGGTAAGTCAGGACACTTTTCCTTAGCTGTGACCTTCCTTGCCTTCCTATACAGCATTCGGAAGTGTGTTTTCATCTGGAGAGGCTGGGGGTGGGGTGGGGTGGGTTGGGGCACTCCTCTGGTGGAGCAGTAACAAGCTGTGTCTCCTCTGCCTTGCCTGGTGGCCACACTGTACTTTTGTGAAGTAACTTTAAGACCAGAATGTGGACCCCTTTGCCTTCTGTAACTTCAGAGGTCATCTGGGGCCATACTTGGACACGACCTTGACCTTCACTGCCTGCCCAGTGCCCTTAGAAGCCATGAAGGGGACTTGAGATACAGCCTTGGAAAATTAATATTCCAGATCCCAGAACACTTGAGTTTTTTAGTCACGCTTGACATGAAAAATCCGCAGTCTTGTTTTCGTGGGCTCTATTTGTGGACAGAGATCCATCAGTGAGGGACAGAGGCTTAAAGGGGAAGCAGATAGATGCTGGAGGAGCAGGAGGCTGGCCTTCAGCCTGGGGACTGTTAGAACTCCACAAGGTCCTTGTCTCTCCATAGACCCCCCACAGAGCAGATGACCTCGAATCCAACCGACCCCAGGCAGTTCTGATGCTGTTAGCATCAGGGTGTTTTCTTCCAGTGTTAGCTGGCCACGAGTCTAGAATGTCGACCTCTGCAGTGGGATGTCTCTGTGTCATCCCCCCCACACCTTTTGTCAAGCCAGTGCCCTGACAACTTCCAGATTTCCGTAGCCATAACCAAAGCCAGGGTGTGTGTTTCCCATCGGATACTAGTATTCAATGCTTGTCTAACTGCCAATGTGATGGCTTTCTCTACACTTGTAACTGGGGCCGTGAAAGACCCCAGATCCTTATCTTCAGGTTAAACTGCTGGTTCTGTGAAGCCCCTGTGTAGGACTGGGTGGCTTTTTAAGTGAAATGGGGCTGGGGGTGGTGATCGTAGATAAGGTTGATTCCATTTCTTCTTCTCCATCTCCTTCTCCTCCTTCTTTTGTTTTGTTTTGTTTTGTTTTGTTTTGTTTTGTTTTTCGAGACAGGGTTTCTCTGTGGAGCTTTGCGCCTTTCCTGGAACTCACTTTGTAGACCAGGCTGGCCTCGAACTCACAGAGATCCGCCTGCCTCTGCCTCCCGAGTGCTGGGATTACCACCGCCGCCGCCGCCGCCGCCGCCGCCGCCGCCACCACCCGGCCTGATTCTATTTCTTAAGCGCAGTGGAGAGGAGTGGATCCTTTTCACAGTATTTTCTGCTTCTTATTTTTTTCTTTAATTTTTTATGTTTTTCTTGAATTTTTAGTAGATAATCTCTTTATTTAAGAATTTTGCTTCTCATCTGGTAATTTGAAATCTCTAAACTTGGTATCTCGACATTGTTTCCAAAGAGCCCAAACCATTTTAAATTCAAGGTAGATCGGCAGCCATTGCAAGCAGCTGGTGGACCTCATTTAGTGCCATTAGTGGCTGCCACCTCAATGTTCTGAGAGGTAAATGTCAATTGTGAAAATAATTTTAAAAGTATAGGGTTTTTTTTTTTTTGTTTGTTTGTTTTTTGGTTTTTTGAGACAGGGTTTCTCTGTGTCACCCTGGCTGTCCTGGAACTCACAGAGCTAGCTTTTGAATAATAAACTTTCCAAGAGAAAGCCTCTGCGAAGACTGTTGGATCGGTTGACTTGCCAAGTGATCCAGTTGTGTTTTAGGTTTTCCTTCCATTGATCCCGGGCCGGGAGTTTGGGGGAGAGCGTGGATGTTCTGGCGTGATGCTGAAAAGCTCTGGGAGCCCTCTGTTCATTCCTCATTTGTGAAACACAGGGAGGGGTGCTGCCCCTCAAATTCTGTGATTGGGGCGGTAACCCACAGTCAGAGATGAGAGACAGTTGGCTCGGGTGGAAAACCGTGGTGACATTGTCAACTTCCAGTTCCAACTCTTCACAATCCAGTCTTCTGTCTTAATCACTGTAGCCTCCAGGCTCCTTGGTTCCTGTACTTTGGATCTGAAATGTGAAAGGCTTTGGCCACAGCTGTGTTCTGCTGAGGGGCAGTGGGGTTTTTTAAGGGGTGGTTCCCAGGGCGAGGTCTTGGGTCATTGTGGGTGAGTCCTTGAAAGGGATGGAAGGATGCTAGGCTAGTGCCCGTCCCACTTCGACCACAGGTGATTGGCCATGGACTGACACCCCACTCCCATGCCCGCAACTGAGCCTGAACAAATGTTTCTTCTTGTTAAGTTGCTCAGCTTAGATGCCATGTTACGGTAGTGATGAGCTGGCTAATCTGTGTCCTCCCATAGCTCTAGCCGGACACCCAGTATGGGGCAAAGATACACCAGAAATGCCAGAGCCGGCAGGAAAGGACATAACCCAGTGGGTAAATCTACCACCACTTACCCTCCTGCTTGTTACCTGGGTGGATAAAGCCTGAGTACCTTTGTGTATACCAGGAGTACTGAAACCTTATGGAAGGGACTTTCTCTCTCTTTTTAAAAACAAACAAACAAAAACCAAAAAACTTTTTTTTTCTTCTTCTGGGGACTTTCTCATTTAATGAGGTAGTTGGCGAAGGACTTTGTGCTTCCAGATTCCAGGCTGGTGAATTAACCGAGTTTCCATGAAACCCAGAGCTCAGTCAGCCGCATGGAGAGCTGGACATCCTGTGCCTGGATGCTCTCTGTTATGTGAGCTTTCTCTTGCCTTGTCTTCCTGTGGAGATACTGTCATGGGAGAACGGAAGGACACCCCAGTCCTGACTCCCTGCTTCAAGTCTCAGTTCCATCGGACGGTGCCGTGCTTAGGTTGGCAGTCTCCAGGCAGAGGTAGAGATGCTTCTGACCTCTGAAGGATGGAGACTCCAGGCTCCAGCTGAGGCAGATAAGCACCTTGCCGGCACTTTGAGCAGACTCTGGGTGGAATGAAGGAAGACAGAGGGACCATTTGCTCTGGACGCATCATTGACACTAGGAATACAATTGCTTTAGGATCTTTCCAGAAGACACAGTTTTTCTAATAACTGCTGTACCGGCTGGTTTTATGCCAACTTGACACAAGCTAGAGTCATCTGAGAGGAAGGAGCCTCTGCTGTGATATTTTGTGTGTGATCTAACAAATAAAGTTTGCCTGAAGATCAGAGGGCAAAGTCACCCACTAGTTAGCCATAGAGGTCAGGCAGTGGTGGCACACACCTTTAATCCCAGCACTAGGGAGGTGGAGACAGGAAGTGATGAGTGGACACAGAGAGGAATATAAGGTGGGAGGAGACAGGAGCTAGGCCCTTTCAGTCTGGGGATTCCTAGAGGTAAGAAGTCTTTCTAGTGGCTGGCTGTTCTGCTTCTCTGATCTTTCAGCTTTCACCCTGATAGCTGACTCCGGGTTTTTATTGTTAAGACCAATTAGGATTCATGCTACAAGCCTCAGTGGAGGAAAATGCCTCCAGGAGATCCAGCTGTGAGGCATTTTCTCAGTTAGTGATCAATGGGGGAGGGCCCAGCCCGTGATGGGTGGTGCCATCCCTGGACTGGTGGTCCTGAGAGACCAGGAGAGGCCATTGGTGAAGGTGCAGCCTCGGTGGAAGTTGAAGGCCCAGGACTGAAGGAAGAAGTTGAGGCTTGGCACCATGAAAACAGCCTATGAGAGGCCATTGGTGAAAGTGCAGCCCTGTTGCAGCAGAGACCCCAGCATTTTGGAGATGCCAGTACCGTGGGACAACCATCAAGAATACTAGCGGCAGTGGAGTGGAGCCAGCCAGAGCCTAGAAGACAAGCTGTGTGTGCTGCAGAGGGCGGAGCCAGAGAAGTGACCCAGGTCCTCTGGAGGAGCCCAAAAGACATTGGATGGTTAGAATCTGGTTTTGCTTTGATTCAATTGTGACTGCCCTGATTGTTCCCTCTTGAAGTAAAAAAGTATTTTACTGGAGCCCACATTTGAGAGACTTTGAATTTTAAAAGATCATGGATTTTAAAAGAAACGGGCAGGGCTGGAGAGATGGCTCAGAGGTTAAGAGCACTGACTGCTCTTCCAGAGGTCCTGAGTTCAATTCCCAGCAACTACATGGTGGCTCACAAACATCTGAAATGAGATCTGGTGCCCTCTTCTGGCCTGCAGGAATACATGTGTATATAATAAATAAATACATCTTTAAAAAATAGAGATTGGCTATTTTAAAGGGACTGAGATTTTAATATGTTTGAGTTTGTGAAGACTGTGGGACTTCTAAAGTTACTTATGTTTTTATTGTGAGGTCTTGGGGATGAATAAGGAGGGGCTGTGGCTTAATAACGATGTGATTGTGTGTCAAGCTAATGAGGGATCAGTTGTCCTGGCTGGTGTTGTGTGTCAACTTGACCCGAGCTAGAGTCCTCAGAGAGGAAGGAGCCTCTGTTGAGGAAATGCCTCCAGGAGATCCAGCTGTGAGGTGCTTTGTCAATTAGTGATCCATGGGGGAGGGCCCAGCTCACCGTGGGTGTTGCCATCCCTGGGCAGGTAAAAGAAAGACTGAGCAAAGTCACCGGCAGTACGGCAGTACGCAGCTTCCCTTCATGGCCTTTGTTTCAGCTCCTGCCTTGACTTCCCCCAGTGGACGGGCTGTAATTAGACTATGTAAGCCAAATAAACCCTCTTCTCCTCAAGTTGCTTTTGGCTATTTGTTCCGTCACAGCAACAGAAAAAGAACCACAATAGACATGACGCGACGTCAGAAGAATAGCCATGACATGACGTCAGAAGGGAGCAGCATTTGGCACTCAGAGGCCATGAGAGTAAAGCTGCCAGCCACGAGATCACATGATCACATCAGTGGAGGCCTGGTCACAGGGGTGAGAGGGTATAGTTTAGACACAACTGGAAGGGTGACCTCACTGAGTATTATTATTATTATTATTATTATTATTTATTTATTTATTTATTTATTTTTAGATTTATTTATTTATTACACATACAGTGTTCTGTCTACATTCCAGAAGAGGGCACCAGATCTCATTATAGATGGTTGGGAGCCACCATGTGGTTGCTGGG